TGAAGAGGAAAAAACCAGGATCCATAACTTACAGTATGGACGGAGAAGACAAGGTTGGAAGATATTTATTTTATCTCTACTGTGTGTCTGATGGGTTCAGAAATGATTTCTATTCACATGGAATGGCTTCAAATTCCTGTAGCACAACGAAAGCAAAACAAGCCAATCTAAAATTGTTGCTAATTCGTTGGCACATTTTAAAACACAATTTAAAGTAAAATAAAGTTTATAAAAGTCTATACAAGTTAAGAACAGAAGGCAATAAATCATCAAACATTTTAGTAACAAAAACAGCTGTAAATTTTAGTGGGTGGTGCAGTAGAAAACGGCCTGCTAAATTGACCAATCACAACACGCATAGTAACTAAGAGATAAAACAACTCAGGTAACAACAACATTTAATTAAGAGATGACAGCCTAGTATTACTCTTCAGGTCCATAAAACCTGCAGTGATGGAAATATTACCTGCTATTTACATCCTGTAGGTAATTAGCCAAGGCTAAATGCCCATTAGCTCTTGCAACATCTTCTGGTAATGTAGCACTATTCCTGTAACTGTTAAAGACAACTTTTCCAGCTGACGTGCTGAAGATCATTTGAATAAATTCCCAACCATCTATTTCTGCAGCTTTGCACACCAGCGACTGTAACAGTTTAACTGACCAAGCATGTTCACTCTGATTTAAGCTTGATGATCCTTGAAAAAGGTGCAGATACAGAATTATGTTAGTAGCAGTGCATTGCACAATCATTGGTATATTAACATAACATTTCTCTAAGCAATACTGTTTTTTTTTTTTTGAGACATTGTATCTACTGAGAGAAATCATTACATTGATTATATAGAGTTATTCACAGATGACTTTCCTTCTTTTTGATTTTCAACAGGTGTCTTCAGGTTATAAGCTAGCCATAAATCCACAAATTAATGACATTGTATTTTCATTTTCAAAATTTACTTTTTGAGTTTTTTGGTCACCAGATACACTGTACTAACAAGAAAACTCACAGGTAAAAGGAATTTTCCTCAATAATCTTTGCAACAGAAACAAATCAAGAAACCGTCAAACTTGGTATAAAAAATTCCTTTGCTACAGACCACACAAGTAATCTGCTTGTTGTCACGGTATCAATAGATATTGCTAGTAAATTAATCATAATAAAAAACTTACCTGGCCCTGTTTTACCAGAAGAATCTGATGTCTGTCCATCACTTAGTTTGTTACTACTCAGTTCTTTATTCATCCTATCAAACAGGTTACGCCGCACGTCCTCGTCTGTCACTACCTTATTTAGATATTCTTCCTCTGTGAATAGGTCATCAATATATTCAAATACAGTTTCACCACCCCACCATGATCCATCTAAAGACTTCAGTGTGACGTTTACTGGACCAGGACCCTGCAGGGATTCTGAAATTCAAACATTTTTTTTGTCATGATGCTATAACCATTACAGCACAACTACTCCAAACAAGGCCATTCATGTATATATTTTTTTCAAATTGATCAATAGCAGTATTTATAAAACAGTCACAATGATCACAAATGTGTTTCTCTAGTGTACCTACAACTTGCAATTGCTCAGATTGATAGTTTGTTGGAAATCTATATTTGTTTACATCCCAGGGTTTCATTGTTAAATTTGGAAAGAACTTTGTAGGGTGGCCTGTAAATCAAGTTACCCAGGTGAATCCTTTGGTTGCCCGTTAGAAATATATACCTGGCACAAAATATTCTGGAAATTTAGTATAGAGTTTTTCGGCTCCTGTACAACCTCTATAGTTCTAAAACAGTACCATATAAAGCAGTGTTTCTGCCAGAGCACGCCATTGTGGGAATCCCGCATTACAATCAGAGATGGCCTCCGGAAAAATGATAAAAGGGCCAATTTGGCCCTTTCCTTTTACAAGACTGCAGGCTTAACACAGGCATGATAATTTAAAAAGCCATCCCAGGGCTCGGAATTGTGATCGATATGGTCGCCAATACAATGGGAGGTAAGGGGAGAGGAGAGGAGAGGAGCTTGGAGAGGCAGTAGAGGCACAAAAACTCTACTTAAAATTTCCAGAATTTTTTGGGACACATTTGTAAAAATAGGATAAGAATTATTTACTGACCTCTAACTGAGTGCTTCATGTCTGTTGTATTGCATAAATTGACCAACAGAAGCTATCTGACACTGTTAACAACTGAAGCATCTACAGTGATTTGGCTGGGTCATCCATTGTTTTCCCCTCGGGCAACCAGACTCTTTGATTTTAGTATTGTGTTGTATTTATTGTAAGTTTTGTAAAATGAGTATTCTGTAATTGAAGGCTGTCATGCAAAAAAGGGCGTATATAGCATTTTGGGCCAATTTTTATTTTTTGTAGGATCGAACTAATTTTTGGCAGACTGACTTGTTTTGACATGAAAAGCATCGTTGTGTAATTGTTTTTGTTGATTTGCGCTTTGTTTTCGAGAAATAACATATGCAAAAAAACTCAGTTTTCCAAGGATATCTTTTGAAGATCAGGAAACCTTTATTTTGCTAAATGATGAAGTCACTGAAGCATGGTATTTGCTGCTAGTTTTATTATTCATATAATTACGCAATTCTCTTACTGTTGCTTCATTAGCACAAGCGAATAAGGCGCTGAACACGCCGGATTCGAGTTTGTTTTGTTGTGACACCGGTTCGATACAAGGTCGCTCAATTTTTTTCCGGTCTATTTCAAAAAAATCAAAACATCTATTAAAAAAACCGTGCAGTCGAAGCTGCTAAAAGTAACCGTTTAAAGTGCCACTGAAACAAAATTTTCGTATGTGAGATTTTTGCTTAGTAATAAAGTTTCAACCTTACTTGGAAACACTGCGGACTTTTTTTTCGCATACGGTAAGCG